AATAATAATAATATTTATTTATATAGCGCTAAATCCACTAATTGCTCATTGAAGAGTTTGCGTATATTTCGTAAATAGCCTAGCTGAATATCTGGGTACTTTTGGTAAGAATGCGTATATTAAAATTCTGTTTTTCTCAGCTAGTGGCCCCGGCTGAATTAGCTGCACTGTAACATTGAATCAATGCTTAAACCACGTTCTAATACAAAAAACTTTGTCCTTGAAAATCGAATTTTTGTGCTTGAAAAGTGCTTAAAAAGTCCTTGAATTTTGTAACGAAAATGTAGCACAAACCCTGAATAATGTATTCATTAATTATGAGAATAATTGAAGTAGTTTGATGTAAGTTATTTCCAGGTGAATAAAACAAATAGGTTCTTTGAGTTTGATAAACGGTGCATTCTGGTCTAGCTTGGGTGCGGACAACTCTGCATAAGACAACGAACAAAAGATGTTTGTACTGAAGCTGGAGTGCAATGCATCTTGTTTATAACTCAGAAAAGCCCTATGCCGTTTCATTCAGGATTGCAAACTACCTCCAAAATATAGAAAAAAATACTTTCCATTTGTTACTTTCCATTTGTTACAGTAATTTTGACTGTTTCTGTGTTGTAAAAACATGAGGACAGCCAATCACGTTCTGTTTTATAGTTCTATAGTTCTTATTATTTTTTTATTGCCATTTAGAGTTCAATATTAGCTAACATTTGTTAGAATTTCTGGCTAATTTTCGTGTGATTTATATATTTCTGTAACCTCAACAACTTCTAAAGACATCCTGGTTTCTCAGACAGAAGCCAAAACAAGAGAAATTGTGCCATGATTGGAGTTGCCTGAGGTGTAGAAGCATAAGATAAGGATTATTTTTAGTGCGTGAACTGTAGTTGTAAACAACACTAAATAAGGTTAATTCGTTATTGCGGAGGTGATGGGGGACATCACATAGTGATGGCAATAAAAACTGGGTGTTTCATAAGGTAAATTGTAAAGCCACTATAGTCATGGAAAGTCAAATGAGTAGGAATGAAAAAAAAAAACACTTAGAATTCACATTTGTTTCAAACAAAATATTGCATGTCTAATCTGAAAGCTAAGACCATTTTGTATTTTGATATTTGGATAATTAAATAAAAATTATTCTATCTTTTGATTGCATCTGGATTCCTATTGCATATTTGAACCTGATTATGACAGCTAATGTTTCATTACTCCTAGTTCTTGCACAGAAATGGCTTCCCAATGTTTCAATACTTCTAGCTTTTGCACTGAAATGGCTTCCCAATGTTTCAATACTTCTAGCTTTTGCACTGAAATGGCTTCCCAATGTTCCAATACTTCTAGCTCTTGCACTGAAATGGCTTCCCACTGTTGCAATATGAACATCCAAAAGGCTTCCTATTGTTCTCCTATTCTATGACACTTAAATGGCATATCATTATGAACATCCAAATGGCTTCCTATTTTTCTCCTTATCCATGACAATTAAATGGCATCTCATTATGGATGTCCAAATGGCTTCCTATTTTTCTCCTATTCCATGACACTTAAATGGCATCTCATTATGAACGTCCAAATGGCTTCCTATTTGTCTCCTATTCCATGACACTTTAATGGCATCTTATTATGAGCAACTAAATGGCTTCCTATTGCCACAAAGATATATTTGACAGTCCCCATCAAACAGACCTCACATCCCCAATGCTCTTATTAAACCCATAGCAAAACTGCCTGGCTTTTTCTTCATGGGTGTGGCTCACATTGACATAATCACAGTTAGCTTTCACATTATTCATCCATGCCTTGACCTTGGGCCATGGAGAAAAATCGAAAGACGCAAATTCAAGCAGCGACAGAACTACAGTCACCCAGCTGTCGGCAAATGTCTCTCGATCGCAAGACAGAAATGGAGATTTGGAGAGGTATTGGTTTTCCAAGGTGTTGAGGTGGAACATGACCTCTGACTTGCCGAAGCTGATGAGTGAAATGTTGGATTCTCCAGGGAGGGAGTCCTCTTGCCGTTGGAGTGATGGGTAGACGTAATTATGTGCAACATCTCTGAAAATTAAGTCAGAGAATCACTAATGAAAGATTGGCCTGAGGGTGCCGAGTTTGCTCTTATAATTTAAATAATTCCAAAGTGGGTAGTGGAGAAGAGAGGAGAAAGGAGTAGAGGGGTTAAGGGCAGATCAAGGAATCAGAGAAAGAGAGAGGTCTATGGCTAACCAAAATAAAAAAACCTAAATCTGTCCATGGGGATGCGAGTCTTCCTCCTACTGTCTTCCTCCTACTGTCTTCCTCCTACTATCTTCTTCCTACCGTCTTCCTCCTATAGTCTTCCTCCTATAGTCAATCCTCCTATAAATCTGCTGCTGATGTTTACCTGGTTAAAGCAGTTGCTGCCCAGCAGATAATAGACTCAATTCTTGCTCTCACCTCAGGTGTCTGGCCGAACCCTGAGAAGCCGGTATATTTTTCAGCTAGGTACATTACAATCGCAAGACTGAAAAGTGAAGTGAAATTATCATTACACCTTCACAACAGAAACCATGTACATATATGTCTAAATAATAAAAACATGCAGTTCCAGACACACCTCCCCCCAAAGAGCAGGATTGGAATTTCCAAGGGGTGGGGTCTGAGGAGGGTATATTGTGCAGTTCCATAAAATATCCATACCTCACCCACAGAGGGGGACTGGAATTTCCAAGGGGTGGGGAGGGTCTGAGGAGTGTATATTGTGTAGTTCCATAAAATATCCATACCTTCCCCACAGAGGGGATTGGAATTTCCAAGGGGTGGGGAGGGTCTGAGGAGTGTATATTTTGTAGTTCCAGAATATATCCATACCTCCCTCACAGAGGGGGATTGGAATTTCCAAGGGGTGGGAAGGGTCTGAGGAGGGTATATTGTGTAGTTCCAGAAAATATCCATACCTCCCCGACAGAGAGAGATTGGAATTTCCAAGGAGTGGGGAGGGTCTGAGGAGGGTATGTTGTGAAGTACCAGAAAATGAAAAAAAATTACAAAATGAAGCCATGAATGATTCTGGTTGTTTGATTCTTACCATCCTGTTATGGTATTTTTATCATCTATTATCATCGGCACTGACCCTAGAGGGCTCATCCCAGCAAAACCAACTGGACGAGCATCATCTATATCAACCATAGTGAACGTAATCTTGTTCTACAGAATATGAGAGTACATTGATCCACTGTTTAGTCTTGGTCAAATGAACAATAAGCATGGGTGGATGGGGTCTGAAGGGGAGGGTGAAGACAGCTCTGGATCTTTCACTATGCCACCAATCCCCTCCCTTCCCTCCCCCTTTTTTTAAGTACTACCAGACCAGGTAGAGTGACAATCATGCCCGGAAAAAAGCAGTCGCTAATGATGATTAATATGAACGTACCTGGTTACATTCAAAGTTAAATTGCCGCTCTGGGCTCAGGAATGTAATCAGATATGTTTATCTTAATCGTCATTGGTGACTGCTTTTTTTCAGGCGCGATTGTCACTCTACCTGTTTTGGTAGTATTATGGCACCCATTGTTGGTCAAGGGAGGGGTGGGTAGTATTTTTTTAGGCTTCCAAAATCTTTGAAAAAAACCATAAAATCATCTACCCTGGGCCATTCCAAATAAATTAAATTTTCCTGTTATTACTTTCTCTTCCTCGAAATGGAATGCATATTTTCTCGTTTCCTGCATTTCCTTCATTGAATATCGTTGCCATGGCTCACGAAAGACAATATTATCAAATAAAACAAAACTAAAAAATTCCCCATAAATCCCTATTATTTAGGTCCCTAGACTAAAAGTAGAGTTTAATCAATCCAAAACGAACTCACCCTTATCATATAAAGCCATACAACACGACATTCAACGCAGTCTTTCCGAAGATAGAAAGTCAAAGGAGGCGCCATTTTGTTTTCTTCTCTTCTCCTTTCTCCTCGGGACCAGATCTCTCGCCACTTCCAGGGATCGAAATACGGAACGCCTGACATTTTTGTACGGGATTTTTTTTCAATAATTTCTAAAACACTTTTAGGAAGACTAAAACTTTTATTTTTCTGGGATTTATTTAAGAAAAGAGTGAAGTATTCTAGAGACTTTTCAAAAGTGATTTTAATTACGTATTACAAGGCTGTTAGCTCATTAATAAATCTTTAAAATCTGTTGAGCAAAAAAAGCCCTGTCGGGGGTATAGTGGGGAAGGTTCAGTCCCTTTTTTCAAAGGAATTATAAACCTGACCTTATATATACCCATTGGTTTTAAATGTGATTGTCCAGGTGAGTGTAGTCTTGGGAAAGACTGTTGTTGGTGATGACTGCATTTCGACAACCGGAGCTTAAGTCGTCTTCAGAGTCCAGTGAGAAAATGACACAGTCGATGGTATTTATACCTCTGGTATATGTATTTATACCTCTGGTATATACCCATTGTTTGTCAGTCTTCTTCGGTGTTAAAACTTTCGATTGAATGAAAATATTGGTGACCCTCCCTTTTGGCTTATGTAAGAACTTGATGGCCGCCTGCTTAATTAGTTCGCCCCTCCCCCCTCCCTCCCCTCCCTCCCCTCTAAAATGAATTCTCCCCGGAGTAACATGGCAAACGTCTTTCTCTCGTTCCAAGAGTCTTTTTTCCTCTCAACGGCCACGAAGTTTTTAATTTCCATCTTCTTGATTAAAAATCTCATCTACACTAAGCTCGCCAGTCTCTGGAATCCTTAGATACCTACATTTCTTTAAATCTTCAAGAGAATCATCATTCCCCACAGAAGAATTAAAAGTCAAATTCGCTAAACTAAGTCTTGGAACGAGACCCGGGAGGGAATATTTTCGTGAAGCATTCGGCTTTATCTCGGGAAGTTTTGTAACACTGTCGGTTACGTCCGCATCGTCTATACCTGTACCCCCTTCGTCAAAAACGTCGTCTTCGGCGTCCTTTTCTCGCTTGTACGCTAATAAACTTTCATGGAATTTTTTGATTCTTTGGTCAAGGTTGTCACGATTCTCGTCAATCGCCATCAACGGGGCGCTCAACTTTCGTGCACGGCTCGCTAATAAAGGAGTTTTAGGTGTTCCATTCTTCAACGCAAACAATTCCTGGCCTTTCAAAGGCATTCCTGGGTTGTTAAGTCGTTCAATGTCAGATAATGACCTCCTAGAAGGTCTTGGGCTCACACCAGCGTAGTTCATCTCTTTCGCGGTGAAGACAGACTCCTTTTCTTGAAAGTTATCTAGCTTCCCCTCCGAACTCGCTCTACTTAGTCGAATATTGTTCACTGAATCTTTCCATTGGTTTCCAAGAGGTTGACACTTGAACTGTAGAGATCTCGTTGAAGGAGTCATGACCTCACTATGTCGCCTTCTTGTTACCCTAGGGCTCGTCATCGGAGACACGGGCAGTGAACTCGGAGCTCGCGGAGATGTCGGAGCGAGTAAGCACCCACCATTTTCCTGGCCGGCGTACAGAGAAGGCATGCTAACGGCTGTCTTGATTCTAAACTTAGCGTTTTGTAGCTTGACCATTTCTCGTTGTTTCTGGTTTTCTAGGGTCTTAAGTTCAACAGAGAGTCGTTTTGAAGCTCGTGCATTCGCGGTGGCTGCTTGTGCGAAGATGATCTCGCGACTTCGTCGATTCGTCTGGACTGAAGGATCCATAATATCCAGTCAAAAACCTACCAAAGTTCTGCCCTATATGAGAAAAGATACCTTCTCTCTCCTCTCGCTTGCTTTTCCAGTAAGACAACCGATGACTTCTTTAATCCTGGAGTAATTCTTAAAGAACCAACAAAATGTCTGCTGCTTTGAGCGTCCTGTTTACAAGATAATGGCCTTGTTTGCTCGCTAATGTAATTTGATTAACGCGTGTCTTTGTTGTATTGTGTCTGTCAATTATCTGGGATTAGGCCGATCAAACATCTCCGCTTCAATCCTAGTCTACCCCACAGCCGCTTTCAGTGTCGTCACGCAACGCTTGCTCCCCTGAGTAGAAAGCGTTGCGTGACGACACTGAAAGCGGCTGTGGGTGAGACTACTTCAATCCCCCCGTATCTTTTGTAAGTCTTATTAAAGCGGGTCTTTTATGCTATCGGAAAGACAAAGCCATGTGGAGAGGTCGAGACTAAGGTTCAAGAATAACATCATGAATCATGAAGGACATGTCACTCTGTTGAGCGCGATCTTCAATGGCTTAGATTTAGCTCCCCTTCCCTTCCCCCCAGAGGTACTGGAGGTACCCTCCTTGGGTATCGTGTTAGTCTTCCCTCCCCCAGGCTAGACAACCCCTCCCCCTCTACCCTTGGGCAATGAAATGATACGATCTTAAAACAAGAGGTTTTTAAAGCCCCTTTACGTAACAGGATGTTTCGTAGGTGGGAATCAAAACATACTTTTTTATAAGATACTTTAAGTCTTTAATTAAGCCGGAAACTCCAGCAGACTTGGCGCTAAAAATACGTGCGTTTTCACTGCTAAGTATAAGTTAAAGATTGGGTGACCATTACTGAATTAGAACTGCCCACCTCTGAGGTTGACATGCAAATGCACACGACACACAGAGTAGATATAGATAAGACTGACAGGCTACAATGGTTCACGCGTCATCCATTATATGGATAAAATAATCAAAAAGTTAAAAGTTCGTCATTTAATGAATTAAGGAATCTTTCATGTAAATGTAATTAGAAACGAGACGCTCTCAGAACGTGCACTCGGGCTTCCAAGGACGTGTTCTAGTGTGCTTGCTGGCCTTTAATTAGAGCTCAGCGGCGTGCAAAACGCATGCGCGCCTAGACACCAATAGTCRATTTCTGACGGATACAAAAAAAACAAAAAACACGTCATTTTAAATACGAATATTCCACAGGAGGCCCGAGTAATAAAAAAGATACCATGGTTCACAGGTCATCCATTATATGGATTAGATTTATAGAGTAAAATGTTCGTCATGTTTTCCATGAATAAGACTTAAAGTATAGGATAAAAATACGCGCAAAAATGGTTACACGCTTTAGTAGAACGGAATGGCTGGCAGTTGATGGGGGTAACAGAGCCCGCGTTCCTTTTGGTCTCCGTCCACAAACGAATGGCCTTCGTCACTGTTTTTTGATTGGCTAAAGTCGGCAAAACAATAAATCCAAAACCAGGCAAAACCAGTTCCTGGATTCGATCAACGCCTTTCGTTTGTTTACGGAGACAAACTGCGAGTGGAAAGTCAGAGAACGAGAATGAATATTATAGTGGTAACTAACGCTTAAGAAACTGGTGACTAACTAATGTTGAAAAGACTGATGACTAACGCGACTTCCTCACACGAGACTCGAGACTAAATGGACGCTAATGTTTGAGAAATACTTAATAATACTATGCATATATAGACGCATAGAAGACTGGTAACTAGCAAGGAAGAATGGTTTCTACGCATGCGTAGTATAGGTATGGTATACAAACTTTGTATATAAATTAGGGGAATTTATATTTACTATATTTACAGTAACTCTTTCCTCTCTCCTACGGATAACTTTCTGTAAGACAACTTCAAGTATGTCAGGTCGAATGATAGAATGACCACAGGTAGCCCGCGAGATATATCTTTGGCGTCGATCACTTTGGATAGCACATTAAAACTTTGCTAGCCTTTACAAATATTCCTCTGTTTGACTTACTGCAATCCAACAAGAGCACACAGGAAATTATTGAATGCTACTCGAAAAGTTTTCAAGAAAAAAAAGACTAAAAATATGACGTCATAGTTCACATACTATGCAGGGTTAACGTCATGAAGACTAGAATATTGGATATTAGAGTCACTTTCCTGGCCTCAAACAATCTTTTCAAGTCGAGGCATTTTTGTTAATACAATGAAATGTACAGAAACAAAATGCAACAATTGTTTGAAGCATAGTTTGAAGGCAAAAGAGTGGAACTCTAACTATTTGCTCAGCCACTGAAGAACAGATTAATGGAGTATATAAGAAAGTCTTGACTACTTACCACTTGAATAAACGCTGTCCGTGGAAAGTACCATCATGTCTACCATCTGTGAATTAAACGAGATGAAACATTTTAGTTTCACCACGACAGTACTGATCTGATTGCTATTCAAAGTCATTGGCATATATTATATTATGAATACAATCCATTGTTATCATCAACCCTGTCTTCGGGTTGGTCCGCGAATAATTTAAGTTTCCTCCGCATAAATTATCTACAAGAAATCGGCACAACTTGTACTTTGTAGCCCTCCCGACCCACCCTCATAATTTGTGTTCGGTTGATGACTCTGTCTTCTTCAACGTCGGGTTTCTTTTGCGAGTTTTCATCTGGTCTTTTTAGGGGGAGCATATAGGAATCTTCAAGTAGGATGGCGGCAAAAGTACACAACCAACATGGTACTACTTCGTGTCGTATTAACTTATAACGTATAACGATCCGGAGGGTGTTTGTCCCCTTATCTAATAATCATCACAATGAAGAAGAAAGGTTGTACTCACCTCCACTGTCAAGTTCGACCCCAACATAAGAACCTTCCCTTCCTGGTAGCATACCAACGTATTTGACTATACCATGACCACAGATCCCACGATTTCTGTTAACCATAACACGCATGCCTTTTTGAATGTCTGTAGAAAATGTTGGGCAAAATGGTTTCGGCGAAGAATCCTTTGGGTACCCTGTGCTTGTTGAGTAACGCTTGGTAACAGAGCTGTTTGTCCCGTACCGGGCGGGACCTGACTCGTAATCCCTGGTACGGTATTTTGATTCGAAGTCTACTTGACGAGTGGATGTCCCATAGTCCAGAGTAGTACGGGATGTTGGCTGGAAGTCCTTGGTGCGGGATGGTGAATGCGAGGTGGATCTGTAGTGATTGATGTCCTCATTTGCTGTCTGTCTGTCCAAGTCTAACACTGTACCTGGGTGAAAATAAAATGGAGACATCAGATGAAAGAAGCGAAGTGTAGGGTCTGAGAGAGGAGTTGGAAGGGGTCACTCAAGGGAATGGTCATGTGGTCTGAAATGG